AACACCATAATGTCAATCTGGCCAATCGACAGATGGTGTTTTTATTGTTTGGCTCATGCTAGTCTACATCTTATCTGCCTAAAAACTAAAATATCACTTTTGATCATTGGTGGCCTCTACTGGTCATAGGTGGCAGTGCAAACAATTGAACAGTCTTGATTTTAATTAGTTTTAATTTTATGATCAAAAAGTTAAAAAATTAAAGCTGAGGGCTTTCCACAATTACTGATTTTCTTCAAGACGACACTCAACCATTCAGTAAATGCTGTACGCACTTGTGTTTAAATGACAGGAGAACATTCATCACACTCAGGTCTCACATCAACACTTCAGCATGCATAGACAAGTCTCCCAGAAGTTTTCCTCAACTCACAAAAAGCAATGTTTACCCCGTCAATAAATACTGTTCCGAGTTTAAAGGCTGTATCTACTTTTATCTGCCTAAATAAAAACTAAAAGATCACTTTTGATCATCGGTGGCCTCTAGTGGTCATATATAGTAGTGCAAACAACTGGACTGTCTTGATTTCACTTCTAGTTTTATTTTTATGACATGTTAACAAGGAAACTTGAAAGCTAGCCTGAAGGGCTTCCAGATACACCAACCATCTGTTCCCAAACACTGAAAGCAGGAAGTTTAATCTGATTTTCAAAGGAAATCTACGGCATAACGATTCTGGCTCTGAATGACGGTTAGCTGGAAAGATACACAGCTAAAGACAATAATCATAGCCTACTGCAAAATAACAGTTGAACCGTTTAAAACAGCCAAATGCTAAACACACGATTTAGATTTGCCCACATCTATCAAAGGTCATCAGATTATAACCATTTACTCTTTCACTTTGATGCTAACTAATTCAGCTGGAAAATCCACAGTTTTGAGGATGGGGAAGTCATTGATGTATGTGTATAGAGGAAGCCAGAGGCAGAACCCTGGAAAAGACATCAGAAAATCTGACAGGAGATACACTGGAAAAACTCCAGATGCTTGGAGAAATTCCTTTGCACAGGAAACACTGACTGAGAGCCAACAAAGATGCGACTAATGAGTCGGGCAGCAGACATTCAGCTGTAAATCAAACATGTTTCAATGTCTGAAAGAATTCAATATGGAACTTGCATTTGGATTCAGAAAATTTTGCGTCACTATTTTTAAATGCAGTACATTTGTGCAACTGAGCTGAAATTTGATGCTGATAATATAATTTGTACTTTTGCAAAAATACAAAATGGATACATTTTTATCAGTGGTCTCAAACTTCTGGACCTCACTGTACCTCTGTGTCTGGCTTTGAACTCCATTTAAAGATTTGACGCACGTTTCATGGTGAACAAAAGAATGAAGAGAAAGGGAAAACCTCCCAATGATGTTGGACCAGAGTTTTGAACATCATAAACCAATTTAGAACAAAACGGCAGCATTTAAAACAGAAGTGTTTTGTTAAATAAGTTGTGAAACACTTTTTAAAGAGCACTAAGAGGGGTGCTAAAGTGAAAGCAAATAGGAAAGGTTAAATGACTTGTGAGATCAGCTTAAGATATGCAAATCGTGTAATTTGCTTACTTGGAAAATCGCTCAGCAATGGCCGTGCTTTTGCCTCGCACACCAACAATGGAGAGCTCCTTTGCTGTAACTCTCAAGGACTGGGAAGCCCATTGCCCACGGTGAAATGAACTGGCTGCCATCTTGGTGTCTTTATGTCTTTAGTAGGATTTCTGTTAGGACAGAGGCATTTTGAATATGAAAATTAAGACAAAACAGCTTGCTTCGTTGTTGTTGATTAAACCAAACTAGGGGGTTTCAACCTTTACAGAATCAGTGAATCGTGATTAATCACATCCAAAATAAAATTTTGTGTTTACATAATATATGTGGATGCACTGCGTGTATAATTTTTATATATATATATATATATATATATATATATATATGATACACACACACACACATGCTTGTATATATTTAAGAAATATTTTCATGTATATACTGTATATAGATTTATATATATATATATATATATACAAAATAAATATACACAGTGCACCCACATATATTATGTAAACACAAACTTTTATTTTGGATGCAATTAATCACGATTAATTGTTTGACAGCCCTACTGCAAATATGGAAAATGTTATTTTTTTCAGTACCCATGTATTTTTTTTTAATATTCCATCACAATATACACATCCGAAATTCCAATAGATGCAAATAAAAACCTGGAACCAGACTTTAAAATGTACAATAATCGGACTGCACTAATTGTATAACAATTATCCAATTATACTGAAGGCAACTGGGGATTGCACAAATCAATTACGTCATGAAACCCCCAAAACACCTGTGGAACATCCGAAACAGGAAGAAAACGTTTTCCCATATTACTCCTGAAATGAATGAGTCATCCGGCGCCAGTGCACAACACCTGAAGGCGCTCACCTGATCATTCAGACATGCTGTGACTTATGCCTGATATGACAGGAAACCGTGGAGCAATATTCTTATCTCACATGGTCTTATCCCTGTTACAGTTCTCGCAAAATTCATAGGAATCTGATCATTTGGGGGAAAACCATAGACGGAAATGTTCTGATTAGATTTCAGTGGTAAAACTACTTCCAATTAACCAGCATTTTATCTTCTCAAGCATGTTCTCCCACCCTTTACAGGTGAGCCAGGCTTTGTTTTGGGTGATGCAAGGAAAAAGCATCAGCTGAAGCGTCAGTGAACCTGCTGAGACAGTAACCGAGTCATGATTACCTCAGATTACACATGAATCACGCTTTACAGCTTTAAAACCTTGAACACAACTAGTTGCTTGCTATATAGTCTGGGAAAGAGTCATGTCAAAGTGTTACCAAATCATGGCTATTTGGTAAAGTTGTATTAATCGAAGAGATCTCAAGGGTCTGATATAGAGACATTAGGATGTGACTCAGCAGATGATGCACACTTTCTCATCCAGAAACTTCCTAAATGTGAACAAATTAAAGTTGAGGGCTGATTTGCATTCAACAAATGCTGCGCACTTGTGTTTAAATGACAGGAGAACATTCAGAGGGTCAATGAAGCAGAAACATCACTCATGTCACATCAACACTGCAGCATGTAGACAAAAAAAAAAAATAACTCAAAATACTTTTCACTGTAGAAATGGCCTACTTTAAAATTTCAATGACAGTGGCAGTAATACATGTGCTCTTAAAACTCTGATATATTATATTATCACTGATCAGCATATTTAGTATTAAGCTACATATTAAAGCGCTCAAGTTTTTTTTTTACACATTTTCAAAAAACAATTTCTAAAATCAACATCTTGATGTATTCCAGAAAGAAAGACAGCCATTTTAAGTTTTTTTTTCTATCTTCATTTCATGGTAGTCAAAAGAAAGCTCCCTTTAATAAATGAAAAATCTAATCCAGAGTCTCATTCAGAAACATATGGCTGGTGAGACCATTGAAAAGAGTGAAAAGTGGGAAGCAGCTCAAACAAACAAAAACCACACAGCATGCACTGAAAATGCAAAACAACAAGCCCTATGAAGGCATTAGCTAATACAAAGGACCGTGAAACTCAATCAAAACATACATACTCTTAAGTTTGCAGTCTTTCAAGCCTTGGGATCTTTCAGTGGATGTGCCAAAGAGGTTTGTAGCTGGCCTCTCAGTCCTCTCAATGCTCTGAACACTCTGCTCTGCTGCTCACTCTCACATTGTTAGTGAGTGAGGAAATATACTGCCTCCTCTCAGCCAATGGGAAGAGAGCTGCTTTGCACCTAGCAGGTAATGCCCCTCCCACTTCAGGGCTCAGCAATTCATCATCAAACTCTCACTACAACAGACAAAGTGAGTCAACAAGGCTTCTACTCAGTCTGGGAATCCCATAGGATTCCTGGAAGTGAGCAAAAGTCCCCTCCTTCATGCCTAGCTCGTATTTCATCCCAAAATCAAAAGGCTAAAATAAAAGCCATTAGAACAATAAAGATTGTAAAAAATAAATAATGATAATGTGTAATTAATATTTTTTACATTTTAATGTAATGTTCTTCCTCATTATATTGTGTATTTATCATGGACCAAAAACTGTGGGAACACAAAGCAGTGGCGTCTCACAGAGGAGCCTCTTCAGGAGTCTTCAGGCTCTCTGGATCACTTTCATTAATCCCTGTCACATGGAGGTCTTGCTGGAGAATAGGCACAACATTCCAGTGTTAGATTACGCATTTCTGCACATTGCTAAATATTATTTAATCATATTGTATAAGCTGTATATGTGTGTGTGTTCATATATATATATATATATATATATATATATATATATATATATATATATATTTGAATATTAATATATATTTATTATTATTAATAATATATATATATATATATATTTGAATTATAATATATATATTCAAATATATGTATATGTATTATATATTTAAATATATGTATTGCGCGCGTGTGTGTATATATATATTCTGTATATATACTGTATATACTCTGTGTGTATATATAGGCCTATGTATGTCCTCCTCCAAAGAAAGCAGGTTATATAGAGCCAGGCAAAAGATGGTTATCATCTCTTTTTATTTCCTCTGCTAGTGCTATTTCAGGTAATAAATGTCAAATACTGAATATACTTATTACTTTCTAATAGGTAAAACATCTCTGACACAGAGAGTAGTGATACAGTATTTGCAATCACCACTGGAGAAGTTGGAGAACAAATTTCTTCATAATTTACCAGTTCATTATTTCTGTCTCAGCAGTTTATTATGTTCACTTCCCTTAGGCTATTAGACTAGAGTGAAGAGATTTCATCACACTCCCATTCATGACTCATTTTAAAGTGGGTGAATCACAAATTCAGGGAAACTTTAAGTTCACTATGTCAAGTCTGTAGAATAGGATTAATTAAAATAAAAAAGAAGGGACACTTGAGTTGTTAATTGTGAAAGTTTGCATACAGAAATAGCATTAGCTGTAGGTAAATGAATAACAATGCCTGTCCAGAAGGCGGCGTCATCAGCAGATGTTTTATCAATATCATATTACATGCGGATGAAGTGTGGATGAGACATCGTTTCTCCGTCAAACTGAGGTAAACAAAACTGACTTCCGTGCTTGCTTACTGATTTTCGAAATGTTATTTCATTAATGTGTGTAGAGTACCCTTCGGTGATTTCCATTTCTCTGTGTAGATGAAAAAGGCGCAGAATTTCAAACTTTCAGTTTCTATGCAACTGCAACAATAAAAGATAACCTGAAAACAACGTGACCGCGCGCAAAAATTGCAACCCGCAACAATAACCATGACAATAACGCTGTTTTATTTTTAAACGGAAGTAGATCGGAACTGAACGCGCGTGCTGCATCATTTGATGAAATGAGTATCTCTTTGTTCTTTTTCCGTTTTTCGCGCTTCTTTTTTTGCTTCTCTAATGATGCGAGTGTTTGCAAGGTGTTTGTAATCGATATGCACGTGTTAATGAGACAGTTTAGGCTATTTTATTGTTCCCGAGGAAACAAAAGCTCTATCAATTTAATAAAACGTGCGCCATCGTCGTATATATTGAAAGTAAACAAAGATGACGCAGCTGTGATGGTGAAGCACAAAACTGGAAGTCCCCTACAGATCATGCAAAGAGAAATGCGCCATTCACACTTATACACCAACAATGAAAGAAAATTGCAGCATCATTCGATTAATGTGTATGTGTAATCATCAAGTGCATTTTGCATTGAAATATATTAACTATATGTTCTTCATAATCTGGAAGTGATAACTGTGCGGTAAAAACAACTTGTCAATGGGAGGAGGGACTCATGATGAAGATACACACACTTCCTTCAGCTCCGCCAATGATGCTTCAGCATAGGAGATCATCCGTTAATATATATCTACTTCTTGCCACAACACCAAATATGTTATTATACAATATATGCTATGTTTTATTTGTTTCATATTTCACTATATTATTTTATTTTATTATTAGTTATTCTAATTTTTTTTATTTGTCTATTAGTGCAATATCTCAATTTTCCCTAAGGGAAATAAAATATCCTCCTATCTATCAAATCCTTTAGTTCAGAATTTTATAGGGTTTCATATAGGTAAAAATGAGCTAAGAATCTTCTGGGAAATAAATTGTTTATTTTTAAAATAAATGTATGAACAGTTCAGTGTTGGGTGTAGTGCGTTACAAGTTGTGTAATCAGATTATTTTTTCAAGTAACACAAGTTACTTTTGTGAACAGGATAGTTATTGTAATTCTAGACTAAATGTTAACATGCATTCACTCATCGCACTTGCTCAAAAATAGATTCAGTGTCCCTCAAAATTAATAAAAATGGCAATGCAATCTCAGAATTTTACGCAAACCTGCAATGACTAAGTATGGTATTTAATAAAAAAAATATACTTTATGTATTTAATCTCACCTTATTAAACAACGTATTTGCTGCTGACCTTTTATATATATTTAGTAAGACTGTTCCCTGTGTGTTTTTTGTCCGTTGTATGTATCAGGCGTACTGTAGGTGCAGAACAATTTTCCGCGAGGATAAATAAACTTAATCTAATCTATGTCACCATTGTCAAAGCAATCAATTGTATTATTCATGCAAGGCCAGTAGTTGGCGATGTGACTTTGTAAAGAAACATGTAATACAAATGCGCATGACGTCACTGTTTTCACAAATTCGCGTTTTTGTAGTTTACACAGAGACGATAACAGTATTGTTTTCAAAAACTTCCACTTTGAAACCCGTAAAAAGTTTTTCGTTGAAAACTCCCTTTTAGTTACTTACTTTTTAAGAGAGTAACAATATTGTAATTAATTACTTTTAAAAGTAACAGATATCATAACTGAGTTGTTTAAAGAAAAAAATATACATTTATTTTGCTGATCCCATTTATTTGCATTTGTTACAGATATTGATTAACCAGTATTTGTTAAAATGTTAAAAGGATATGAAATCATTTGCTTTAAGTGTTGTGGTTATTCATTTTGATGTACGTTTGTTTTAATTTAATTTCTGGTTTTGTTACAGCCTTAATCTTCGTTTTCAAAACCAGTTTCAAACCCGGGTTTTCAGGTCATTGACCAAACAAAAGAGGCAATGGATGGACCAGTAGATGGCACCAAGCTCATTCTGAAACACAAGCTGGTTCTCCTGCAGGCCCTGATGGGAGATACAGACTTCCTGCTTCAGCATTGCCATGCCAGAGGCATTCTGTCCAATAATGAGTACAACAACATCAAAGACATTGACACTCGTTCAAAGCAGGTACGGGACATCCTGGATTATGTGATGCACAAAGACAACAAGTGTGCTCTGAGTTTCCTCAAATTGCTGAGAAGACAAGATATGCAAGAGACATTTCCTAAACTGCAATTCCTTAAAAAATTGCACATCAACAAACGCAAGACAACAAATAACACAGGTATGATCTTATAAACCAAGACATTAAGACTTATTGTAACGTGTCAAGTATTTAAAACAAAATATATTTAGAATTTCAGCGGAAGATAATTTGTAACTACACTTTTTTTTAAATTAAAACTTAAAAAGTAAAAAACAAAGATTCACTTAAAAGTAATAATAATTGAAAAGAAAGACTGAAATAAATAGACAGAGAGAGAAAATCAAGGTTACTTCAGGTTGTTTTCTTTTCATTTTTAATGTTTTTCATTCATTTCTTTCTGTGATATAGTAGAAAATACAGTCTTGCAATGATTTTTGAAAATTGCATTTAATTAAATAAATGCTATCATAATATATAAATACTCTTGAGGAGAAAGATAATATATATTTTTATGTTACAGTTATGAGATTTAAACTTTGCAAAACTTTGCATTACACTAATGAACACTGGGGGTTAAAATTAGCTTAATTGTCATGAAAATAATGTCACAATGCAAGTAATTATTAAGGCCCATTCACACCAACGACGATAACTATATCGATAAACATATAGTTCTAAAAATCTTTCTAAATGTAAACGAATAGCATCACAACTATAATGATAACAGAAATAATATATTTGGAATCACTTTCAAAACCATATTTTCCAGCTGATGAAAGATAAAAACATTGACAGCCAATCAGAATCCATCCTGCTGTAAGGAGCTCGAAGGATTTAAAGTGGCAGACAACAAAACTGCAATGCCTGTTTAGATTAAACAGAACGGTATTGTGCGTTGGTGTGGACGCTAATATAGTCATCGTTCTTGGTGTGAACAAGCCTTAAGGGTCCCATTAGAACTCTTTTATTATTACTGTATTTATACAAAATATATATGTACAAAATGGCCGTTCAGCGACGCGTTCACCCTATTGCCCTCATGCATAATCTATTTGTAATTTGAAAATGATGTTGGTTTATCAGAGACGGCAGCCAAACGAAGGCATGAGGTGTTGGAAAACGATGTCCTACAGGAGAAGCCGTCTATAATCAGTGAGTCACGTCTGCTTTGCATCTTCTGTTCAGCTTCATGTTCGCACGGCTGCATTACATAACTTTGTTTTTCCTCAGAGTCCAGGATGGTGAGTGAGAAGGAGATGATGAAGGTGGCCGGCTACATTGGGAACAGCTGGAGGCAGGTGGGCATAATGGCACTAGGTATGAACACCACCACTCTTCAGCAGATAGAGGAGGATAACAAACTACACCAAGAGCGGGTTTTCGCCATGCTGCGCAAATGGAGCATCCGTGAGAGGGACCAAGCCACAGCAGCTCGTCTCTATTCCCTCCTAACCCAAGAGGACAACGGTGTAGACCCACGAAATATCAACTTCCTGATGGAAAACAACTGAGTCCACAGAGAGGACTGCATTTATGTTGCACTTTGCATATGTAGACATGCAAGCATACCACTAGAGGGAGCTATAACTGCTATTCAGTTATATTGAAGAATGTTTACTTGAAGGTGCTCTAAGCGATTGTTGACGTTCGGAGTATTGTCAAACAAAACGGAGGCTAGCTCGACCCTCCCTCCTCCTCGTCCCACCCCCTCCCCTCCATTGCACGCGCACTAACCCCCCAACCCCCACCCCAAAATCATTCTTGTTGGTTATTGGCTGGAACACTGTTATCTTTCGTGGTGCGGGTTGGCCCAGTTTGTCTTTGTTGCCGTTTGTGGAGCCTTACAGTGTGTTCAGGGGAGAGGCAGCTAGCGGATAGTGAGGAGATGTTTTGCTGTATCATGTGACAAAAAAATGATTCAGCCTAAAAAACGTGCGACATCGCTTAGAGCAGCTTTAATTCACTGTTCATTTTTGTTTATTTGTGTTTGAGGTCAGCTAAAAGCTTGAAATAATTGGGAAAACGTCTGAACGCAACAAGCTAAAATGCGAGTATTTCAGATATTTTTCTTAAAGCTACACTGTGTGATTTTTACCCCCATCTAGTGGTGAAAAGGTATATGACCATCCAGAGAACATTAGTTTCTGTTCCTCTCAATTCCGACTCCTACGGTGGCCAATGTAGTCCAAGATTAACATTGCTTCCAGTTCGACCTCGTCCATGAGTGTTAACTCAAACGTAAAAAGCGAAGCTTGAATTAACGAGAATGTCCCTCTTTGGCTAATGCACTTTCAAGATGGAGGGGCGACATTAGAACCCCTTACCCGTATGTATTTTCAATGGCATATTACACACTCACGTGAATACTTTATTACTTGAACGAAGTAAATATACATTAATGAGCACGTATATTTTTGAAAGAACTAAGTGTTTTTAGCTAAGAATAAACTAAAAGAGTTACACAATGTAGCTTTAAGCCTTTTTTTACGTTATTTGAAAATATGCTTACATTTAAAAAAAAAATGTAATGCATACGTGATTTTTTTTAAAAGGGCAGGGCTGAATTAAATGTTAGACTTTTGAGTGTGGAATTTTGTTTGTTTTATTTTTTTATGGCATTTTTATTACTTATTTGTTTTTCTGTTAATCTTATTTTTATGTGATCAAGTTCCATTCCTACCTTATAAATTGCACATCACAGTGTGTGTGTGTGTGTGCTTTCTGGAATATAAAAATATGTACCTAGCAATATCAGATGAGCCTGATTTGTACCGTAGCAATTATACTTTTTTTTTTTTTTTTTTTTGTAAATGAATGTGAAAGCTTTTATCTAAGTCTTAAAACTTGAACCGATTCCATGAACAGATAAGGAAGACTCATGTTTATGATGGAAATTTACAAAGATTTATGTTCCAATAGAGGCCGCTATCTGGCAACCTAACAGTGACCTTCGCTCTCTCGGCAAGTATCACGTTATTTCACCCTGATGCATTTTCACCCTGGTGTTTCACCCTTGTTCACCCTTGTTTTGCATGCCAAGCAGGTGATAGGATTGGAGGCGGAGCTTTGTACAATTCCATTGCACAGGCCAGTCATTAAACAGCATCTAGTCCAGTCCTGCCAGGCTTCAGGGAATCTTTTTTTTTATTTGATAGATTGCAGCCTAATGTGGGAACATTATTTTCAAATTCTATCATGCTTGCTTTAATTGGACTATTTCATGTTACTTTCTCCTGTGATTGTAATTTTATATTGATACTCATTTCCATTTTGTATATAATTGAACATGCTTCTGGTGTTGGGTTAGTTTCAAGTAAATATAAATAAAGGGAACAAATGATTCATTATAATGAAAGAGTTTGAGGTTCTTTTTTTGTTGTTGTTTTATAGCCTGTTTTATTGTGCAATTAAGATATTTGTCGGATTTACGGTATTGCGTTTATTGTTTTATAAGCTATAAAACCCGGCTCCTGGAGAGTCTATATTTTTTTTTATGAATCTCTATCTCACCTGTTCCTCAGACTCTTTGTATCTCATTTACCTCTTTAATTTCATATTGATTCGGCTTTGATCGTACAAGTTTTAGTTAACCTTGGATCGTGTAAGGTTTCTTTTGTACGGACAAGACATTAAAAACTAGATGGAATTGTAATAAACTTTTTTTATGAGGTTGATTTAAATTAAATTAAATTTCAATTCTGATGACACAGATGTAAATTGTGCATACAACTATTCACAAATACTCCATAGGAAACACTTTTTCTATAAGATAACAGATGTCTTTTTTTGAACCCAGTGACATTCCATTCCTCTCTTGTGAGTGAGTGTGTGTGGGATCATTGTGCAATCTGACAAACATACGTGGAGGGATATATCTTTCTTTCATCAGCAAACTCAGTCTCATTTGAACTTAGAACAACACCCAGAGTTTGGAAGATGTTGAACGTTGTACCCCTGTTTTTCCAGCATACATTACCCAAATGAATGTGTGTCATTATATAACATGTAACGCTGTTGTACTGGTCATTCTTATTGGTTGCTTGTGTACGGTTTTAGCACAGTAAATATATCTGGCCCCCCTATCAACTAAGATGCAGGACCCTGCCAATAAAACCGACCAATGGTTTTGCAGAAGGTAAGAATGGAGATATCTGAAGAAATGAAACAAGCCATGAATAATTATGTTACTCAAATAAAAGCATGCAACTGATAGCCTATCATACCTGGGTCTTTTGAAAACGATTTGTTCTTTTTCAGTTAAAGATTGATTTTTTTTTTGTTGACACCCATATCATTCTAATCCAATTATAGGATGTCACTTGAATGACGAATCGGGCGTGTGCATCACGTATATGAAGGGTCTCGAGGCATCCATACGACATCAGACACAGTCTACAGGAGAATTTCAAGTGCTAAGTGCAGAAAGGACACGATAGATCACAATGAGTTCATCTAAAGGTGAGGCTGTTTTGGATGCATGCATAAAGCTTTGTTTTAAATTCACCAATTTCTTAGTTTTGCTGAATCGTGCTGATGATGTAACTGTCTACGCGCAGACGTTTCATTATAATCAGAAGCAGGGGGAAAAAGTTGCAGCTAACTTTATGGGTTATTATGGTGAGCAGTCATTATGAATGATGCATTGTTTAGAAACTATTGCATAAGTTGCAGGAATTGCAACGTGTCGCCCCTCAAAGCACTTTGGGATAACTCCAGAACTTTCTAAAAAGGAAAAAGGCTGCAGAAAATATTGCATTCCGCAAGTTTATTTCTTAACAAAGATGGGGGGAGTTGCATATTACAGTTAGATCTTTCAGTCTTTGAATCTTTTTACAGCCGTTTTGTTATTTGGTGTCATATTTCCAAAAATAAGAAAAAAAGAATTGGGTCGTTTTCCAATTCGACGTTTTCCTCGTGAAATATCGCGATTGCAACATGGGAATTGATGTTGCCTTCACGCGCTATCGTAATTATCGTAAATACTAGTTTCCTAGTTAAAAAATGGACATGAACGCCCTCTCAAGACAAAAGTTGAATCCAATAAACTCGTAATCACGACTTCAGAAGTCGGAAGCTGGAAATTTCCGATAACACGTGAAGGCAGAATTTTAACGCATTGTAAAATGGACTATTTCCTGACTGGATGTGCAAATCATTAGACATTAATCGCAGTGGAGGAATTGGTGGAGGAATTGGCTGGTCTTCCGATTCTTCCGGTTTTATGCCGAGTCTAGTAAGCCTATGCGCAGAGTCGCGGCGCTGCTTAGCAACCGCAAATAGCCAATAAAAGTTCATCTAAAGTGGGACTTGAGGTGTAAAAGGACAGACGCGTTTCATGTTCGAGCAGAGACATTAACTTAATTAAACTTTTTTTTAAAGCAATTTTCCTCCATAAAAATTAGCATGTTTAACTAACAACTTGAAATACTACAAAAAAAAAAAATCTTTTTAAAGAGCAAAATCCTTCTATAAAGAAATAACAAAATTATATACAAAAAATAATATAATTTATAATAAAAATATTTTTTAAAAAAACTTTTAAAAACGATTTCGTTGCTTTTATAGAACACTTTTTTGTTAATTTTAATTGAAGAAAAATGCTTTTAAAATGTTTTTCATTGTATTTAAATATATTTTGTCACTTTTTATAGAATGCAAGAAAATTGTTTTACTACTATTTTTTGTAGTATTTAAACATATTTGCTTTAATTGTAAAATTGTTGTGCCACAACAAATGTAAAAAATAATTTTGTTCAAAATACACTATGAAATTACATATATATATATATATATATATATATATATATATATATGTTAGGGTTTGCAAAACACCCATATATAATATTTGATTAAAGCATAAATTGATTTATTCTGTGATGGATGTACCTATAAATGTATTTCACAGCATATACGAATGGCCATGCCCCCCTGGAAGAATCAGATATGTCCGAGTCGGATGGGAAGCTGTTCCTTACTGAGGCTTTCAAAGTGATTATGGAGGAGATACTTAACAAAGGAACTGACTTGAAGGAGAAGGTTGTCTTTTAAGAGTTTATCATTTCATTTTAACAACCTCTGGGTTTTCCCTATCTTATATTGTTTCTTATGAGATGTAGTAATAGACTTAGTAATAGTAATAATGTAATGTAATAGTCTTAAAGGGATAGTTCATCCAAAAATGACAAACATGTCATCACTTACTCGCCCTCATGTTGTTCCTGAACACAAAATAAGATATTTTGAAGAATATGTGTAACCAAACAGTTGATGACTACATAGTATGAAAAAAAAATACTATGGAAGTCAGTGGGGTTCAAGAAAGAAATTCATACAGGTTTGGAACGACTTGAGGGTGAGTAAATGATGACAGAATTGTCTTTTTTGAGTGAACTATCCCTTTAAGAACTGTGTGTATTCACAGGTGTGTGAGTGGAAAGATCCAGATCAACTGAGAGCTCTTCTGGACCTCGAACTCAGAGAAAATGGAGAATCTCACAAGCAGTTATTACAGAGGGTCCGAGATGTGGCGAGATACAGCGTTAAAACCTGTAGGTTGCATATGTTGTGATCGCATTCCCCCTATTTATTCATATTAGCTGTCGTCCTGCATGGGTTTTTCACTGGTTTATTCTGAAATGTTTACATTTATTCCTCCCAAATCTTGAATATGTGGTAACATACATCCTGATCCAAAGCCTTTTCCCCTTCACAGGTCATCCACTGTTCTTCAATCAGCTGTTTGCCGGGGTGGACTACCATGCATTGACAGGACGGCTCCTCACTGAAACCCTCAACACCAGCCAGTACGTGTTCATGTTAATATGTTACAGTGAAAGTGCCATCGTAGGATCTCTGAGTTGTAAATGAGTCTATATGGCGTTATATTAACTGAGGAGC